GGAGCATCACCAGCAGCCGCAGGTCGTCCTCCACTACCGCCCGCAGCAGCTGCTGCCCCAGCGGCACGTCCGAGCTGGGCAGCGGCGCCAGGAACAGCTTCTGCTCGTACTTAGCTCGGATCCAGCGCTCCTTCTCCTCTCTGCAGCCACAGGTCCAGCGGCGTCCAGGCAAAGGACACGCCGCCCAGCGGGTGGGGTCCAGGAGGAGGAAGCAACAGTGAGAGAGGGGGAGGAGGACGGGGCCGCCTAGGACACTCCAGGGCACACAGAGGGGCAGTGGTGGCGGTGGGGAGGGGCAGGGGAGCTGACAGGAAGAGACACTGAAGGGAGGTCCCTGGGGGGCAGCAGGGCTGCTGGGGGGGCTGGGAGGGCAGGAAGGTTCCAGGCAGGCCCATGTGGCAGCTTATCTGGCCATGGAACTCTCTCGATTGGCAGCACTGGAACAAAGCGGGTAGGGGCCCGCACAGGGGGCCACTGCAGACCCTATCTCCCACCCATTCTCCCCATCTAGAAGGCAGGCTGGGGCGCTCCCCACCACACGGCCCTGCGCATGCGCCTCCTGCTGGCCCCCTGACCTGCTGATAAGGCTCAGAAAGGGCCTGTTGTTGTGAGCAGCCTGAGTGACAGGCACCACCGAGGGGGAGGGCCGCCCCCAGAGGCCAACTGCCAAGCAGAGCCACCGCTTGCAAGCTCGATTTAACCCTTCTGACACTGACACGGCCACGGGGTACCCCACCCACCCACTCACCTGCAGGCTTCAGGCCCTGGCTTTGCATAGCCATCCAAGGCCCCCTCCCAGACGCTGTTGGCAAGGGCATTGCCCATGGCGGTCATGACAGCCAGCAGCTCGGGCGGCCAGTCGTCCAGGTCGAGGGAGCGGACCCGGGACAGGTGAGCTCCCAGGTGGCGGTGGATCCCCGAGCACTCGATGCACATGAGGGCGCCCAGGTTCAAGCTGGCCCAGTCTGGATCTACGCATGGAGGGAAAGGACGATGCAGCAGGCCGCCAGCCAGGCTGGGACAGCCAGGGACGCCCTCCCGGCCTCCCCCAGCCCCCGCTGCCTGGGCACTCACTGGGTGCATCGCAGTCGATACAGAAGCTGTTGCCGCGCACGGTGCGGACGGCCTGCACCGCCAGAGCTGTGTTCTGGTTCCCCAGGCGAGCCTGCCACACAGTGGGAGAGGCAGGGTCCCCGGTCGGTGACAAGCCCTCACCTCCTCCCCCGGCCCCCAACCCAGCCCCACCCTAGCCCGCCCTCCGTGTGGGCCCAGCCGGCCCGTGCTAACCTTGTCCTTGGCACTGCGGCAGCCCTGCAGGCTGGCCAGGATCTGAGCCTGCACGCTCTGGACCCACAGCTCCCGCTCTTCCGCCGTGGAGGCCTCGAAGTGCCACGTCTGCCCGGTGAGCGACACCACCACAAACTCAAACGACTCCTCGGCCTCTGGGGGAAGGGGCGTTGACGCCGTCAGCCTCCCTCGCCACCACCCCGGCATGCACACCTCCTCCTCCACCACTCTCTCCACAACAACCCGCAGGGGCCTGGGGAAGCACAGCGAACCCACAAACCTCCGCTCCTAACCACCTGTGGAGCCCGGGGTGGGGGGAGTGGGCAAGGTCTCAGCGGGCCTGGCCCTGCTGGGAAGGGTGCCTCCTGGAGAAAGGCGAGCTAGGTGTCTACAGAGGGACGCGATGGGGTGCTAAGGAGGCACACGCCGGGAGAGGGCGGGGGAGGGCGGGCGTGGGCACCATCCGTACGTGTCAGCTGCAGCCGCCTCATTTTGCACCTCATTAAACCCAATATTCCTGACGGCGTCAGTGTGGGGCTCCTGGGAGCTGGGCCCCTCCCCCACTACGCTGGCACAGACAGCCGGGCAGGGCCAGTGGATGGAGGAGAGGGGGAGCGGTTTCCCCCAGGAGCCCCGGGGGTGCGAGCACACAGGGATGGGAGGACGCCTGCGGGTGGGCCGGGGGTGCCAGCCACACGGTGGAGCTCTCCCTAGGCCTGCTCCCAGGCCCCCTCCCACGAGATGGACACACAAATGCATCTGGTTCCCCGATGGGTGGGTCATGATGCCTACTGAGCATCGGGACTTGCTGTGGGGCAGCTCCAGGGCTGGCCACGCCCCCTGGCCACCCCCCAAGCTACACTGCCTTCCTGCATCCAGGGCACTGGCACTGCCACGTCCCTCACACACCACCCTGGCACCCCACCTTGCCTCTGAGCTGTGACCGTCTCCACGGCCACCTGTGGCCTGGTTCCTGGGACCACAGCGAATGTGCTATGCTGTGACCACCAAGCATCACCCGTCGGACGCAAGCCCTTAACCCTGACAGTACAGAGAGGAGAAATCCCAGGTCCACAGGAGTAAGCTTATTTGAAAGCCAAGAGACCCCAATCACAGAAGAGGGAGGTTCTGAAGCTACAGCAGTAGAGCCAATAATGACAACCGACGGTGAGGAAGGTACCACAGGGGAGGGGGGTGGGCTGGCAATCCTTGATCTACAGGAGGCCAAGGAGAGACTCAGCCGATCCATATGCATGTATTGGCACCTATTATGTGCCCAGCACTCATTAGCCTCCGTGGGTGATACAAGAGACACAGAAAACACAGGCCCCGCCCCAGTCCTGGGAGAGCCACTGTGGCCGTGTGCGTTCACCTTCTTCAAGAGTAAGAGTGGTGAGCTCCCGCGTCAACAGGGAGGTCTCGGGGAGCAGAGGACAGAACTTGTCTGACACTGGGTCTAGATGACGGGAAGAAGCTGTAGATCCACTTCCACTACAAAGCGCTCAGTCCGCCTCATACGGAAACCAGGTGGTTCAGTTTGGGTTGCGAGCCCCGAGCCCCATGGCCCACCTCCTGCGCCCGAGGCTCCCTCTGGGCCCCCCTAACCTTCGGCAGCACTGCTGGGGCCATCTGGTCGGGGGGTCCCGGTGCTCTTTTTCCGACGGTGCTTCTTCCGGTTGGAGTGGGGAGATGGGGGAGGCTCCAGCTTGGGGCTGGACCCGAGTCCCTCAGCTGGGTCACTGGCTGGTGAGGGGAGAGGTGGAGACGTGTGGGACGGGGGGCATGGGGGGCGCAGGGCCCAGGCCTGCCAACTAGGGCTGGGATGCACCTGGGGGGCCCGGCACACACCTCTCTGCAAGCGAGGGGTCTGCCCAGGCTCCCCAGCTTGGTGGAGGGAAACATGGAGACAGAGAGACAGAGAGACAGAGAGAAAGAGAGAGACAGAGACAGAAGGGAACTTAGGAGAAAAGCAAAGGCAGGAACAGCTCTGCAGCCTGGAGGGGTGGAAGGCGGCCCAGGGAACTCACAGGGAGCTGAAGCCCCAGCAGCTCCGCACCAAATTTATCCTCAATCACACTCCCCGCTCCTCACAATTAATAGCAGAATTAGAAACAATCAGGGAGCTGCCTAATTACTGTCAATTAGAGCGCGCTAATCAAGCTCCGGCTCCCACACCCCGCCCGGTGCTCACCACTAAATGTCAAACTTCATTAGAGGCAGACATGCCCCCTCCCTCCCAGCTTTCCTCCTTCCAGACTCAACACAGGGGTCTCACCAGGGCCGGCACAGGCCACGCGGTGACCAGCGACCAGGGAATGGGCCCTGGCGGGTGAGCTGGAACGGGTCCGGGGATGGTCTCTGGGAGGCCCGCAGGGCTGGAGGAACAGCGGGACAGCAAGTTTCCACTGCACCTGCCACTGCCCCCTTCCTGGCTTAGCAGGGGGTAGGGGAACACTGGCCACAAGCACAGCTGTCCCACCCTGTTAGCCTCAGGGTCTCTGGGCAAAAGGTTAGGATTTAGGTGAATCTAGAAGAGAGAGAGAGGGAGGGAGGGAGAGAAAAGGGGGGAGAGGGGGAGAAAAGGGGGGAGAGGGAGAGAGGGAGAGAGAAAGATGGAAACGGAAAGAAAGAAAATGAACAGCCCAGGCCGGTGGAGTTTCCGACCCACCCTGCACGGGGCGGGGCTTCAGCTACCCGAGCGCAGCCACACACGCGGGACCCCGACCTTCCGGGGCAACTCCGCGGGGACCCCGCTTCTCCCCGTCGGCTGTCGAGTTGCTGCCTTTGGAATGGCTTGCAGCCTCTAACCTCCCTACTCAGCCGCTTCCCGGTCCCCCCGCCGAGAGGCTGATGAGCTGACTGCGCGGGGGGCTGATGGGGACGGGGAGCGCCAGCAGCGCCACCTGGGGACGGAGGGGAGGAGGCGCTGCGGAGGCCGGGCCTCTAGCGCCGCCGCTGGCCGGGCGCGAGCCTGCAGCAAGAGGCAGGAAGCCAGACCTGGCGGCTGGAGGAGATGGCTAGCACTGTCAGGGCCAAGCCCTGGAGGGCTCCACAGGTGCCCACCCCTGGGCACCGGCCCATGGCCCATCTCAGCCTCCTGCGCTGGGAGTGCTGCGGGCTCGCCTTTCTCTCTATTGCTTAACTGGGCCCCAGCTGCGGAGCCGCCACTCACCAGGGTGCTGCATGCCGGGGGACAGGGCAGTGGCCTCACTCCACTGGTCGGCGCTGGAAACGGAGCAGGAGCGCTGGTGCAGCCCCTCGGGGCGCGGGCCAGCCCAGGCTGAGCTGCTGAGGGGGCGCTCAGAGTGCAAGGATGCGCTGCTGGCCGAGTGGGGGGCACCTGGGGGTGGGGCAGGGGGAAGGTCAGGCTGGGAGGGAGGCAGAGCTTGGGACATACATGCCAGGAGGGCACTAAGGAAAATGTAAAAGGCCTGAGCTCAGCAGGTGGGGCCAGGGGTATTAGACATCCACACCCCCATGCCTTAGGGGACAGCCTGGCCCCAGACTGTCACACCCCCTTGTCCCCAATGAACATAAAGGGCCAAAGGGCCACAGCCTCTGTCCCCTCACTGTGATCTGGAGGGGCAGGAAAGAGGCTGCAGGGTGGAACACCAGGGCTCTTTTGGTCAGGCCCCCTGGGGGTGCTCCCGGCTGAGCCGAGTCCTGGCACCTGCCCGTACCCCAACCCCACCCCTCCTGGCTCAGGCCCTGCACTCTGGATCCTAGTCCATACATGCCATTTGCTCTGCCTCAGCTTTGCTGCCATTCTGACGAGAAATAAGTGTATCAGATTCAAGTAATTATGTCTAATTAGTATTAGTAATTATCCTGTTGGGCTGGAGAAAATTAATCTTTCGTTTCCCATCAGGGAAGAATGGCAAAGCCAAGGGGGAACCAAAGGCTCTAGGAGTGCAGAGGCTGGGCAGGCCCGGCCCTGGGCGGGGGCCAGACCCTCACCGCCGGGCCTCAGAGGCCTGGGACACTTTAAGGGGCCTGAGCTGGGCCACGGAGAATCTGAGCTCCCCTCCTGTCCCCTCAAGTCCCTGTAAGGCTGAGAGTAGGGACTGAGGCCAGCGGAGGTCCAGAGACAGGTGGGCCAAACCCTAGGAGCCGGCCGGGAGTGGTGGTCAGGAGGAAAGCAGGGGTGTCTGGAGCTGGCCCAAGCTGGAGAAAGCAGGCAGAGGCTGGGCGAGGGGAGGCCTCCCGCCAGCCCTACAGGTGTGCAGGACTACGCTCTGGAAGCCTAGGCAGGAAGTACGGGGCTGAAGCAGCCGGAAGGTGAAGGAACAGGCCAGACGAACAGCGCTCGGGGAGGCAAGTTTTATGTCTCTCTTGTATTTGTCACAACACCCACAGCAGGACTGGACACATAGTAGGTGCCAAGGCTACAGGCAGGTTAGTCTGTCCCCTGCCGGTCCCCCGAGCTGCCTCTCCCAACCGGTCTTTCTCCTCCTACCCTCAGCGAACCTTCCAGAAGCCACACTTGGTCCCCGATTTCTCCGACCCCTTGCTTCTCCTGACCCTGTCCTGTTTCATTTCCACCCAGATTCCAAATCCTATCCCCCCACCCCCAAGCCCTAGCCCCATCCAAAGAGATGGCAGGCCCAACTTCCTCCCCAAGCCCCCCAGCCCGAAACCCTGAGGGAGGGAAAGTGCTTTCCCTTTTCTTTGTTAATTCTCCCCTCATTACGCCTGCAATCCCACAATCAGTGTGCACTGTAATTGTCGAATTTGATGCTAATGATTAATGAATTAAACATGGAGCCATCAATTAGTCCTCGGAGGATAATTCTGCATAAAGCAGCGGATAATGTAATTACAGTAACAAAGATAATGAGATGTTAACATCGCCCGGTGAGCGAGAGACATGTGTGAGTGTGCATGAGGGTCGGCGGCGGCGGCGTGCGGCAGCGGGCACGCGGCTTGGTGAGCGCCGTCCGTGGATTCCTGCGTGTGGGTGCCGTAATTACGGAGTGTGTGCTGCTGCTCCCTCCTCCAAGCCGCTTCAGCTTCCCCGGGGCGCAGGCGACCAGGGGGCCTGGGAACGGGCGGGGGCCCAGCGTTTCTCTTGCTACCTGCCTTCAAGGAAGAGCTCCATTTTGTACACTTGTACTTGCTCGTCCTCCTTGGTACGGGTCTAAGAAACCCTAAGCCAACCAGCCGAGACGCACAGGCTCCCTGCCCAGGGACTTGGCACGGCCACCATCAGAGCTGGGCCTGCCCCAGCTATCCCCCACCCCAGGCACTCCAGACACGCCTCTGTCCTCCTCTGTCTGCCTGTCCACCAGACTTCTCCCTCCACACACTTCAAGGGCTTCCTGTGGGGCTGCACACATGGGCTACTTAGCTTCTCCCAGCCTTTGTCTCCTCATCAAAGTGGGGACAATCTGGACTTCACAGTGCTGTTGTGGCCCTGGGGACTGGTGTAGAGACATCCTCTGTACCCACACCTCTGGCCTGCTAGCAGTGGCCACACAGACACACACACACAAGAGCCACACTCATGCTGTCATCAACCCCAGCTCTCAGCCCGAGTACCATCAGCATCTGGAGTTGGGGGGTCTTTAGCTTGGGGGCCCCAGTGTATCCCAGGGGACTTGGTATCACTAGCCCCTTGTGGCCCTGAAATGTGCAAAGAGCACTGGGATGAGCACAAACTGCCCCACATGCACTCCAGGGAAGGCAGCACACCCCTCCCACAGCGCTAGGAGCTGACCCCCGAGGCAGGGCACAGGGTCAGCACAGGCAGGTCAGCGCCCCGAGCAGCTGTTTCTGGGTCCAGGGAGAACTAGATCCAGTGGCCCAAGGACCCCAGGGTCAGAGGTCCTGGGAGGAAGGGTTCAGAAGCCCAGGTGAGTCCTGGGGTAAGGGAACAGAGTATGTGGAAAGATGGCCCCCGAGGAGGTGGTGGCCTTGGAGCAGAAACCCAGGGGAGCGGGGAGGAGCCAGGGACAGGAAGGGAGCAGCTGCGGACAGAGCGTTTTTCTGCCTAAGCCCACACTGTCACGTGAAAAGGTAAGAGAAACAGTCTAAGAAAGGCCGCCCTGCCGTCACCGCTGTCTCTCAGCCTCTGAGGGTTTCTTTCTCGATGGCCAGAGCCATGGCAGCCTCTCCTGCCCTCCGCACAGGGCCCTGCCTCTCACGGCAGACTGCGATGTGCCTGGTTGACTCCAGGCAGCTCTGCCCCTCACCTCCTGGGCTCCACGCGGCAAGGTCAGCCCGGCCCCCACCCATCACCTGCTGCACTCCAGATGCACACAGAATGTTCTAGGCCCGCTGGCCCCACCTGACACCCAAACCAGCTGCTCCTCTAGAAATCTGCTGCTGCAGGCGGCATTGCCTGGCTGGGACGACCCTGAAGTGTGATGCCGGCTGGCGAGCGGGTGTGAAGGAGCCTTGACACCCAGACTGAGCGGCGGCCAGGCCCCAGCTCTGCTCCCGCGGCCCCGCTGGGGCCGTTCCCAGCCTTGCAGTGCTTTCCGTGCGCCCCGCCGTGGCGGCCGCCTCACCTGTGCCCCCACCCAGCTGCGTGTGGCTCCGCTCCATGGGCAGCCCGTTGGCACGGGGGCTGGTGCCCGGGGCTGTGGTGGGCGTGGCTCGGGGCAGGCGCTTGCCGGGCACCTTCACCGTTGTCCGCAGCAGGTCGATCTCCTTGCCGTGGATGTTCTGCATGTAATCCTGAAGGCCGTGCGGGCAAGACAGACGGAGTGGTTAGCACGGGTCACTCCTTGGGACCTCTCAGTCTATGGCACTCACCCCCCCCCCCAAGACCCCCCGGGTGTGCTCCCTGGAGTTGGGAGAGCAGAGGTAAGACTCAAACCTAAAAAAAAAAGTCTCCAGGGGCTGATGTTATGGTGCAGCGGGTTAGGCTGCTGCTTGTGACACCGCCATCCCATACCAGAGTGCCCGGCTGCTCTGCTCTCACCCAACTCCTGCTGATGCGCCTGGGAAAGCAGCAGAAAGGTGGGCCAAGTGCTTGGGCCCCTGCACCCATGTGGGAGACCCGGGAGGAGTTCCTGCTTCCTGGCTCCCGCCTTTGGCCTGGCTCAGATCTGGCTGTTATGGCCATTTGGGAAGTGAACCAGTGGATGGAAGAGCTTGCTCGCTCGCTCTCTCATACACACACATAAATAAATCTATAAAAAAAAAAGCAGGGCTCCGAGGCCCACAGTTTCCAAATCTGGAAGGAGGCGGGGGGAGGGGACAGCTAAGATCTGGAGCCAGTTACTGAGGCTTAGGAGAGGCCCTGACCCCCGTCTGGGGATGGACCAGAATCTCCTGCCTGCCCAGGGCACTAAGAATCTTCCAGAGCCTAGAATGGCCCCTCACCCTGAGTACAGTACCCGATATAAATGTCTGCTGGACAATTTAAAGGGAGGCTTTGTGTTTTGCTAGACTTAGGAAGGAGGCGACAGGCCCACAGCTTCCTAGCTCCTCCACCTCTGCACCCGGCCCTCCAGCGCCGGGGAAGCCGTGTGCTAGGAGACATGCCCACGTTGCATCAGCCACCTCGCCACCTCCGACGCCGAGGGAGGTCACTCCACCCGCTATCACACGGGGCTAGAAGGCAGCAGACCCAGACTTTCAAGCCCTGCTTTTTCAGTTTCCAAGGGCTGTGCTCCATACACTTACTCTGTGCTGGGATGCCCCGCCCACCAACACGCTCCGCCCAAGACGGCCGGGTAGAGTGGCAGCGCGAGTGGAGCCCGCGTGTGGAGCCCGCTGTCCCCGAGGCTTCCTCTCCTACACCCAGGGCCTGGCCTGGAGCCCGCCCGTCCCTCCTGCCTCTAGTCTCTTTCAGACTTGTCGATTTCTCCTGCTTCCCCATCCCCGCCAGTCCAGCTCCCCAGGAGCGCCTAGCTAATATTCTGGTAACACACAGCGGAAGTTCCTTCCCAAGGGTCCACACAGCTTCCTGAGAGAAGAACCTAGGTGGCCACTGGACATTCCCAGGGAGGCAGTGTTCAGAAGGGAGGCCCCGGCCCCTGCCCCTGCCCCCCCCCACCCCACCGCCCGAATCCTCGGGGAGCGATGGAGAGCCCAGCCTCAGACGCACGCACTCGGAGCTTCTGCTCACGGCCTCAGAACCACAGGACAGCACGGAGAAATCACTGACAGCAGTCTCCTGCCCAGACAAGGCCCCTTGGACAACCTCAGTGCACACTCTGCTGAGCACCGACAGGGCTCCCCCCACCCCGGCTTGCTCAGGGCCTCACCAAGATGGCTAGGAAGGAAACCAACCCAGGACCCCCTGCCCTGCCCTCCCGATGCCCCTCAAGCCAATCCTCCACCTCCTCCCCACAGACCCAGCTCCTGCATGTTCCCATCCCTGATCCTCGCACGTACTGATCCCTGGTCCCTGCTAGTCTCCGTCCACAATTACATCTTGGATCGGCTGTCAACAGTTGGCTGGGCCAAAGGCACCGCTGGAGTTTTCCTCTGGGGGGAGGCACTTGGACTGCTCTAGTTCACAAGGAGGTCACAGCAGCTCTAAGTTTTCGGGCCCCACGTACAGCCCTGGGATGCCAAGGAGCAGAGCTAACCTCCTGCCAAGCACAAGGGCTGCACCGGGGGACTCCGCTCAGCGCCAAGGAGCCAGATACTGCCCAACTCGGACTGCACTGGATGCATAGCCCGAGTGCCCGACACCCGCGGTCCCGGAGGTTGTGCCCTGTGCCTGGCCAGCTCCAGGGCCCAGCGCCGAGCAAGGGAGAGTAGGTCTGGAGGAGAGCGTGGGGAGAAGCCCGGAGCAGCGGCAGAGCAACAGCGTTTCCCTCCGTCAGCAGAACGGGGAGCGCAGCGGCGGCGGTGGCGGCGGCGGCTCAGGAGAGCGGTCACCACGGCTGCCTTTATTACCCACCATCAAACGGCAATTTCTTCCCCAGCCTCCTCGCTAATTACCCAGCCAGCGTTCTCATCTCGTTTTATTACTGGAATTAACAACGAGTTCAGAGCGTGGAAAGCTATTAAGATGTGTGATTAAGCCACATTCAATTAGTTTCTACAAACAATTTAATTGATGTTGCAGATAGAATTAACAGAAGGTGATTGTGTGAATGGCTCCGCTGGCTGCAAAATGGGGGAGGCTGTGGCGGGCTCTCTCTCGGGCCAGGCGAGAATCGGCCGCGAAGCTTGAGGCTGGCCCACCAACCCCTGCTCGGCACATCCGGTCCGGTCCATCACTAGGCGAGGATGCACCAGCACTGCCCCGCTCGGATCTCAGGGGAGGCCCCACTCCCTGGCGGTGGGGTGGGGAGCCCTGCCTGAGCCTCTGGGGCTCCCACACTCCCCGTCGGGGAGCCGGCTGCTCACAGGTGGGAAGGCAGCCCGGTCATGCTGGCTACTGGAGAGTTGAATCAGGTGGAAGCAGGTGGCAAAGGGGAGGTGGAGGAAGTGAAGGGGGCAGCGGCAGCCACGGAGAGGCAGAGAACAGGGCTGGAGGAGCTGGGGGGACCTGGGTGGAATCCCCGGGACAGCCCTGAGCAGGGCAACCCTCGGATGGGCTTTCACGTGTGCGTTGGCTATTACAGCACAGTCCCGGATCAGATCAGTGCTTTCCCGAGGACAGGGTCAGCACTGCCAGGGCAGGGATGGGCCCGTGGCGTCTGTCAGCTCCTCTGGGGTCCAGCTGGGGGAGGGACATGCGTGTTGAGCATGGAGCCTGTGGGTGGCCGAGGAGGAGCGGTGGCCGAGGAGGAGCTGTGGCCGACTGACCGGGATTCACCCTCGGGAGCGAGCGGCTCATAGCACTCTCCTCACGGCTTCCCAGGCCGGGACAGCAGCGGGGGCCTGGGGTGCCAGGCCGGCAGGCTGCCTGCCTGCCCCTAGAGCTCCCCTGTAAGGACACCAGGAGAGGCCTGGAAGTCCCTGGCACCCAGCTCCTGCCACGGCCCCTGATGCACACTCGGCTACACCCAGTGCAGCTGGGGAGGTGACTCCTGGGGCACCCAGGCGGCTGGTCTACCTCCACAACACTCCCCGGTGACTTTCTTAGCCAGCCCCAAAGGGAGCTGTGTTCTTGGCAAAGGCAGAAAAACCTGGGTACTGCTGAGAGCTAAAGTCATGAGTTCAAGTCTCAGTCACTGGTCGGGTGACTCTGATGAGCTCCCAAACCTCCAAGCCCGTGCCGTCCAGGAGGCTACACATGGAGACGGTGCTCCCTCAAGCCCCAGCCTACCCCCCACCACGGCACAGGGCCCCTTTCTTCCATGTCCCGAGGCCCCTCTGCCACCCTTCCTCTCCCCACTGGGCTTCTTTCACTATCTGGGGCAAGGGACAAACGGGAGGAAAGACCACGTACCAAGCTAGGGTGGCACAAAGCAGAAAGGAACAGGTAAGGTACAGGCAGAGCACAAAGGCTACCCCTGTCCAGGTGCACACACCAGGGACTTGGCAGGTGCCAGCGTGGTCTCCCAGCCTGAGTGCCACTTCTGGGGTCTCCGGTCTGCAGGCAGTCATGAGGCCTCCAGGTCCCTGTCCTCCGGGCTGTTCCCCGCCCACCTGCCCTGCTCCCTGGGGTGCAGGCTCCATCCTACAGAGGGCCCTCTATTGCACTGAATGGAGGGGCCCCCACTCTGCTCCCCCACCTGGTGTCCAGGCCCACTTCCTGCACTGGTGAGGGATGAGCAGGGAGTAACTGGCATTGTCCCCTGAGCTAAGGGGGTGAGGCAGCGCCCCAAGGAACTGGGTGAGGAGAATCCCCAGGAGGCCAGGCTGGAGGCGGAAGACCCCAGGGCTGGCTCTCCCCAGGCCAGGCCTCTGGTGCAGGTTCTCCCTGCAGAGCTGCCTGGGCTCTGCGCTCGGGGCCGGGCATCGTGGACCCCGGCGGCTCTCGGGTCAAGCCTCTCTCGTGTCTCATGTACAGATTCAAAGGCAGGCTGGGGACCCTCGGAGGCAGGCCCAGGGCCTCCGGGCCGGGGGTGGGGCCGGCCCACGTGCTGTGCTTGAGGGGGCTTCACAGGAGAACTCATTAGCCCCACAGTGGGGTGGTGACAGAGATGGATTCTGGTGACAGCTGTGTGCTGGAGCCACGCAGGGAGGGGAGAGAGAGGGAGGAAGGGTGGGAGGAGCTGCACGGGGGCTACTCTGCAATCCTTGCAGCACCCACACTGGGGCACGGCCACACGCCTCCAGGCGCCCCTGCCCAAACAACATCGCCCTCCTCTGTCCCTCCTGGGAGGACGTTCCCAAGGGCCTGGCCCCTCTCAGCCCAGGCTCAGCTGCCGTCTCCCCCTCCACCACCCTGGGCCCTGCAGCCTGGTGCTCCCCAACCGGCACGGTCCAGCTCAAAGACAACTGTCTGGCAACACCAGCACCATAGATATTCTAGAAATTCCATGTAAGTGGGTGGGTTCCAGCTCTTCAAATAACTGGAATGTGGGAGGTGGAGCCAAGCTGCTTGGAGGGCCCGGGAGGGGCCGGCAGCCCAGCACCTGCCACGGAGTGGGTCCCTGGTGGAGCACAGCCCTGATTAGCCATGTGTGGGCTTTAGCATAAGCACTTGGACTGGGTCTGGGTCTTGTGCACTTCCCAAGCACCCAAGTGAGGTTCCTCCTCAAGGGAAAACCCATTTGAAATCACTTCCGGGGCTCGTGTCTGGCGCAGCGTGTTAAGCTGCTGCCTGCAATGCTGGCGTCCCATGTCGGAAGCCCGGCAACGCCAAAGCGAGGCCTGGAGTCCCAGCTGCTCTGCTTCTGATCCAGGCCCCTGCAAATGTGCCTGGGAAAGTAGGGGAAAGTGACCCACGTGCTTGGGCCCCTGCATTCCATATGCAAGACCAGGATGGAGCTCTGGGCTCCTGGTTTTGGCCTGGCGCAGCCCTAGCTGTTGTATTCATTCAGGGAGTGAACCAGCGGATGGAAGATCTGTCTCCCCACCCTCTGTGTAACTCTACTTTTCAAATAAATAAATCTTAAAAAAAAAAAAAAACCGGAAGTCACTTCAGTCTGCTTGTTATTCTGCTACTGTCCCTCCAAGCCCCGCCCCCAGGTTCAGGCTCCTCCCAGACTCACATGCAGACTGGGGTGGTAGGTGAGCAGCCCGTTGTCACACAGCGTCACATACTTCTTCTTCCACTCCTTGTTGAGGGACTTGCCACTCCGCTTCAGCAGGATCCCCTGAAAGCAGAGGTGTGGTCAGGGACAGGGGCCAGCACCGCCTGCCCCAGCAAAGGTCACAGTGTCATCGGGTCACATCCTCTGCCTTCCCCACTTTGAGCACAAGGACCCTGAGGACCTACGGCTGGACTAGGTGCGCCAGCCAGGCAGACCCTCTGATGGAACCCACTCCCCCTGGAGGTCTGCCAGGGAGACCTGCCCGGACCCTCCCTCCCCTGCCCTGGGGATGGGAGGGGTCCTCTCTCAGAAGGGGTCCTCCATGGGAGCTCTAGAATAAGGCAGAAAGATCCCCTAACTGTCCCCTAGCTGGCAGTGGGAGGAGCCAGGGTTCCATCTCAGCGAACAGACTTCCCCTGTGGCCAGGAGGACACTCCCACATGTGGGTGGGCATACACAGACAAGGACAGCCAGGAGGTCTGCTTCATTCACTAATAAACTCGGCGTGCGAGGTGATGCCCAGGCCACTACACACCCGCTGCACGCGCCTGCTAGAAGAACTGGGGGAAGGCCCCCAGACCTGCGTGGGCTGGCAGCCGGGGAGACGTAGGGGGCAGACCCCAGCAGGAAGACGAACTGAGACAATGCCCAATCAGAGCCTTGGCTTCCTTCCTTCCTGGGAGAAACCCGCCCCTCTAGCGATAGTCCCTCTGAAACAACACACGGCACAGGAGAATGGCTGGCACGGGGCACAGGAATCAGGAGCGCTGGCGCTGGTCCCCAGGACCAGCAAATCCTGTTGCCTCCTTCCTCCAACCCCTCAAAGTCAGGAGCGAGAAGAGGCTGTGCTCCCTAGGGATTGCTGGATGCGACTCCTGGGGGAGGGGGAGGGGAGGAGGAGGAAGAAGAGGAAGAGGAGGGCCACAGACTGGTGCTAAGTGGGAAGAGCTGGAGAGACATCCGCCCCGGGGAACAGCAGGGGGAGGCTCCCGAGTCCCCTCCCAGCAGATGCTGAGAACGCGAGCTCCCCCACACTGCCAGAGGCAGAGCCCGCGGGCAGAGGCACTGTGATGGCTTCTCCTCCAGGAACGGACACCCAGCTTCATGGCAGCCAAGGAAACACAGAGCAAGAGATGCGGGGGTGGGGGGGCGGTGCTCCTTCTGCCTTCAGCTGATGGTCTGGTCTAGTCTGGTCTTGATGACCAAGGACGGGCGTCCGGAGCAGATTCAATCGCGCCTCCCCCCCGCAGTTCTTCCCAACACAAGGCTCAGCCCCCAGTGGACGGGATTGGAATCCAGGTGGCTTAGGAGTTCCTGAGCCATCTCTGCTCCCCACAGGGCACGAGGTGGGGACAGGGAAGGGCGCTCCACTCCAGGGCCTTAACCCCAGTGTCCCCCTTTCCAGTAGACGTCCTCACATCCCTGCTGGAGCCCTCCGAGAGGCAGATGCCATTTGCCGGAGGTGGTCATGGGAGCTGGGAGATGGATGCAGCCTTTGGAGGATACAACCTGCTACCTGGTGCCCCATCAGCGAGGGAGACTCGATCCTCAAAGGGGCTGCTGCCGAGTGCCTGATTCGATTCATTTATGCAGGATGCGTGTGTTGGGGTACTGCACTGTGTCCTATAAAAATGTACAATCAGGGTTCGTGCTGCGGCGCACAGGTTAATCTTCCACCTGCCGCACTGGCATCCCATATGGGTGCCAGTTCGAGTCTTGGCCGCTCCTTTTCTGATCCAGCTCTCTGCTATGGCCTGGCAAGGCAGTGGAGGACGGCCCAAGCCCTTGGGCCCCTGCCCACATGTGGGAGACCTGGAAGAAGCTCCTGGCTTCAGATCGGCCCAGCTCCAACCATTGCAACCATCTGGAAAGTGAACCAGTGGATGGAGGATTTTTCTGTCTCTGTGGCTCTACCTCTCAAATAAATAAATAAAAATGTACAAATATTCCTTGCTAAACATTTTTTTCTTTTTTCTTTTTCTTTTTCTTTTAAATTTTTTGACAGGCAGAGTGGACAGTGAGAGAGAGAGACAGAGAGAAAGGTCTTCCTTTGCCGTTGGTTCACCCTCCAATGGCTACCGCGGCTGGCGCGCTGCGGCCGGCGCACCGCGCTGATCCGATGGCAGGAGCCAGGAGCCAGGTGCTTCTCCTGGTCTCCCATGGGGTGCAGGGCCCAAGCACGTGGGCCATCCTCCACTGCCCTCCCGGGCCACAGCAGAGAGCTGGCCTGGAAGAGGGGCAACCAGGACAGAATCCGGTGCCCCGACCGGGACTAGAACCTGGTGTGCCAGCGCCGCTAGGCGGAAGATTAGCCTAGTGAGCCGCGGCGCCAGCCCTAAACATTTTTTTTTAGATGCAGGGTGGGAGGGAGACATTTGGCCTAGTGCTAATGGCTCCAGTTAGGATGCCAGCTGCCTACAGTGGAGTTGCCTGAATTCAAGTCCCAGCTCCGCTCCCCATTCCAGCTTCCTGCTACTGTGCACCCTGGAAGGCAGCTGGTGATGACGGCTCAAGTGGTTGGGTCCCTGTCACTCATGTGGGAGACCTGGAAGAGTTCCTGGGCCCCACTGCCAGGCCTGGAGCCACTGTAGAAATTCTGGGGACTGAACCAGCAGGTGGGACCTGTCTCTCAGTGCTCTGCCAATCAAATCAAGTTAGTTGATTAGTTAATTAATTGAAAGGGGGCATCTGAAGGTAATGGGTTCGCGGCATCCCCAGCAGGCGGTAGGGTAGGCGGGGCGACTCCAAAGGGCAATCCAGCCCTGCCTCCTGGTCTGTTAAGGAGCCAGCAGTCCTAGGCCTTGGTGACTCTCTGGGCGTGGCCTCCCTATCACAGGCCAAGGACAGGAGTGGCTGAGAGCACAGCCCCACCAGGGCTGCTCCCTCTGCCTGGCCCCCAGGACAAGCACCCCTGAGGACAAATGGCCACCAGGCTCTGCAGACACCCTTGGGAGTGATCCCCAGCTCCCTGACTGTACCCGGAGGGAGGGAAGAATGACCACGTGCAAACAGATGTGTGGGCAGAGCTTCCTGAGTGGACACTGTGGGTGGAGCTCCCCCAAGGCTTACTCAGGGCTCCTCTCCCACGACTGCGTTCCCTGTCCTGACAGCCTTCACAGGGAGAATCCCACAGGGCTACAGTCAAGAGCCTGGGCCCCTCTTCCCCATCCAGCCTTCATCAAGATCAGGGGGTTCCTATCATAGGTCCAGTCTCAGCTTCCAGCCCAGGCGGCCACTGCCAGCCCAGAACATCAGACAAACCTTTACTGCTCGGGGCCTCTGTTCCCTGGGTCAGACCTGGAGCTTGGACTTGAGGTCCAGAGAAGGCGATCCAGAGAGGGCCCCCTCTGAACCTCTCGCCTCACTTCATCTGGGAGCTGCAGTAATGAGGCTCGTTACCGGGAGGCTGTGGGCGGAGTGCTCCGGTCTGGGCAAGCGGCTGGCGGAGCTCGACCCCGCCGCCCAGCCGCCCACTCGGCTCCGCTGGCTCTGCGGCCCACCATTCACCTGCCCGGCTGCTCCCCGGCTCCCCAGCCTCTCCCGCGTACCAGGAGCTAGACGAGAAGCTACAGGGGTCCCTGCTCCCCTCCCTGGCCGGCCGGCTGCGCACGGCGGAGCAGGAAGCAATCTGGGGCGGAATGGGAGCAGTGCGGAGGCGACGGCCCCCAGAGGACCCGTTCCCGCCGCCGCCTCCCTCCCAGCTCCGCCAGCCGACTTAATTGCGGAGTCCGGATTGATTGGGAATGCAAATGGCAACTGAAATGCAATCTCTACTCCCAGCAGGAGCTGGGTGGGGGAGGGGAAGGAACAGAACTGGGGAGAACGGGACAGGGGGCGGGGAAAGGGGAGGGGCTGCAGACGGGGTGGGGGGGCAGGGGGTTGGACCAGCGCCGAGCAAGGGATGGGATGGGGGTGCGGAGGGGCCCGGGTCCTGGAGACCCTCTCCCCCTTCCACCCCACTGGCTGCAGGGCTGGGAGAGGATGCAAGGAGGGCCCGCCAGGCGCTACCCTCGTGGGTGCTGTCATTACCTAACCTGAAAGAGCAGGCACAGGCTGAGATCCCGCGGAAGCCGGCTGACTCCCAGGCCGCTGCACAACGCCAGGGCCAAGTTCACAGCGCTTCCTCCTCCCCTCCATCCCCACTGGGAGGATTCCGGGAACAAATAAGCCACCTCCAGCCACAGCAGCCCCCAGACAGGAAGGCGAGCGTGTGGGCCCGATGGATGACAGCGCTGTTTACTGATTAAACGTATTCAGGTGTACACAGTCACTCAGCAGACACACGCCTCCTCCACATCGCCCACCTCCGAGCAGGAAGGGGAGGGGAGGCTGTGCCCAAGCACGCAGCACCTGGCGAGAGGCCCCCGCGAATCACAGGATCAACAACGGGCCAGTGCGGGCCCTGCCTCTGCATTCAGACACGCACGCCCGCACAGGCACGGGAGGAGGCCTGGGGGGCTCTGGCCGCTGGCGCTCCGTGCTGTGAGCCTCTCCAGCCGCCTCCCAGGAGCAGGCTAGCGCCCGAGTGCTGCCCGACAACAGGCATGAATGCAACAGGTATTTTAAGAGAGGGATGAAGTGGGAAGACGGGGTGCAGATGAGGGTACAGATCCTTGCCCTGCCCTCTGGGTCCCCCATGGACTTCCTGGGACTCTTGCTGGGCACATGACGGGCCCCTTCTCCCCAGGAGACCACACTGCCTGGAGACCCCCATAATCCCCAGCCCAGAAAGGCCAAACCTGACCACGGGCCCTGGCCAAACCAAGCTCTGATTCTCTGGCTATACCAGCCCCGTCTGTGGTCGCAAACCTGGCCAATAGCCACCAGACCCCAGGGAGCTCTGTGTCAAGTCAGTACCCGGAGGGAGGGAAGAATGACCACGTGCAAGCAGATGTGTAGGCGGAGCTGAGGGCACCAACCACCAGGCTACTGCCGCACCTCTCCCATCCCCCCAAGAGCACCTGTGGGCTCTGAGCCCTGCGGCCTCTCAGCCAAGCTGGAGACACACTCGCCCACTCTGCCCTCCTCCAGCCCAGCGGCTCTGGAGCTCCGACCCGATGCACCACCCTCTCTGAGCACAAGACGCCCTCCACCATTCAAGGCAGCAGGGTCTGGGAGAACTCAGGCTTCAGGCGGCCTAGCACCCACAGGTAGTGTCTCAGAAAGGAAGAGGCTCACAGCCACGAAACTGTACCGATAAACCCAGCAGGGGCGCGGCCCTCAACGCCTACTCCTCAGGTGATTCTGCCAATTCTTTTCCTTAGGTGGCAGAGCCCAGACAAGGCTCTCCAGGTGGAACCCCAAAGCAGCGAGGCTGGGAGCGCCAAAGCGAGCCAGCAGTGGCTCTCTGCTGCCCTCCAGTGGCGGTAAGGAGGTACAGACTGAGCCACAGTTCCAGTCCCTTCCTTAAGAACCTGGGGGCTTGAAAGAGTGGCCTCTCTCCCAACACCGTTCTCAGCACAGAGGCCCTGACAAGTGCCACACACTAGCATATCCAGGGACCACAGGGGAAGGCCAGCGCTAACCTGCTTGATGGGGATGGCCCGGCCGCTCCCGATGCTGTCCACCTTGCCGTCTGCAGCCTTCTTCTCTCTGTCCAGGTCAGCGCCCTTCCGAGACTGGAAGAGAAAAGAAGAGCAGCTGTTGGAGAGGGCCAGGCTCCGCCGGGGGAACACTGCCCGCCTGGAGTTCCCAGCCCTCCCTCCTTCCTCCCTCCTCCTGGGCAGCCCTAGCACTGGGTCGGGCCAGGGCGACGGGGCGGCAAGGAACCGAGACCACAAGTATTCCAACGGGTTTATTCTTACACACGCACCATACAGAGCAGCACAGGTCACTGAGCCGGGCCCACCCCTCCCAAAAGAGCAAGGACAGGAAGTACCGGGGCGTGAGGAGCACGCAGCCCAGGGAGGGGGCCGGGTTGGGGGGGCGAGGAGAGGTGGCCGGTGGAGGCCGGGAGCACGGGGGGGGGGGGGGGGGCACACGACAACCGGGGAGAGCAGAGTCCGCGAGTGACGGGCGGGCGGCCCGGCTGCGGCACAGACACCACACGGCACGTGGCCCAGAGGGGCGCAGTGGATGGAGAGAGAGAGGAGAGAGGCCGGAAGAGGCCCTTTGCGCCCTGCCAAGCTCCTGGGGCAGAGTCCGCCCGAATGCGGATCCTAGGAAACAGGGAAGCCAAAGAGAGGGGCTAGGCAAGTTGAGGGGGAGGGGGGACGGGCGGCAGCGGCGGCTTCCGGAGCAGGAACGGCAGAAGTCCATGCAGGAGGGAGCAGAGGGGGAACAGGGGCAGGAAAGCGCCCCCCAGGAGCAGCTGGGCCGGCGGCGGGCGGGCGGGCGGCGGGCTTCGACTCCCCCACACCCCCTGGGGGCCTCGTCGAGCTGGCCGAGCTCCCTTCTTCTCCATGCAGCGAGCCTGGCGCAGCGTCCAGCCGGGGGCCTGGTGCCCGGCAGCCCCCAGCAGGGCTCCGGCGCTCCTAGCCTTCCCTGGGGGTGGGGTTAGTTACAAAGATTCCTGTGGGTCTCTGGAGCGGGGAGCTCGCGGCCGCTTCTCATCTGAGAGCAGTCCCAGGGCCCGGCCCGCCTCCGGCCCCGACAGGGGTATGTCCAGAGGTGCCGTGTGTCACCACCTGGTCTTCTAATTTGGAAGGAGTTGGAAAGGCCTTTTTGTTGATGAAAAGTTGGAAACAGTGGCACATATCTGCAAATATCGAAAGAATAAAGATTTTGGCAAGTTATACTCAAGCCCCGCACACGTTGGTCAGCAGTAGTGAGGGCAGAGACCCAGGCGCCTGGGGAGAGGCGGCAGCGGGATGAAGAGGAGGAGGAGGAGGAGGAGGAGGAGGAGGAGGTGGAGGAGTTGGAGGAGGCGGCGGCCGCTGCACCGCTGAGCAGACGCAGCCCTGCCGTCCATCCTGGCCGGGACGGCTCACCACTCGGCCCAAGGGCCCAGCCCTCCTGTCCTCCCAGGCTGCCAAGAGCCAAGGGTACAGGGAAGGCATGAAGGACTGCAATTGCAGCGTGGGAGGAAGAACCGCGGGAGCGTCAGCAGCCACCCGGCAGTTCCGTGGGCAACGCCTATGCCCTGGTCCCCTCCTGGGCTCCACAGCCCTCTCTGCCCCTTCTGCCCGGGGGAGGAGGGAGGAGGGTGGGCGCACAGTCACCGAGTCCCCAGATGGAAGGGCTCGTCGGGACGGGTGGGGTGCGGCCCACCCCAGCCGGGCTGAAAAGCCGAGAGCCCCCCCCAATCAGAGGGGACCCCTGGGAGCCCAAAGGGGCATCTCCTCCATGGAGGACGGGCACAGCGCAAGAGTGGAGACAAAATGAGCACATGAAGTCATGGTTGGGGGGACTGGGGAGGGCACAGCCACGGCCAATTTGGGGGTGGGGTCACCAGCCACAGAGCAGGCACGACACAGGGGGCCCCCCTCGAGCAGGTGTGACTGCTGGAGAGGACGAGGAAGGAGAAGAAGGGTGGTCCCAACAGCGAAGATGATGGTGGGGGGAGGGGAGGTCCCCAGATACACCCACAGAGATGGACACGCCTTGAGGCGGCCCCGGGGGACAATGGCGCCAAGAGTGAGGTCACCAAGGAAACGATGGAAAGGAAGACTTGGGCGGCCACTGTGAAGATGGAGAGAACGGGTGGGCCCGGGTTGGGGGGGCTGGCAGCAGCGAGGCGGGTGGGGGAGTGCACAGCGGTCGAGGCAGGCAGCGGAGAGCACAGGATGGAAGGCGGCGCACAGAGAGGCCGTGGAGCTGGGCATGGCAGGTGCGGGAGGGGCCCGGGGCCAGGCGGATGGCGTCACAGAACCAGCCAGCAGGGGCAAGATGGGGAGCTAAGAATGGAACGGAGGCAGCCGATGACAGAGGTGCCGCACAGGCACCTAAAGGCCCCATAGCAGTGGCGGCGGCGGCGGCGGGCAGGTATGAGCACAAGCAGGCGGCCACCAGGGCTCTGTGCATCTCGATGGATGTGAACGGGAACAAGAAGCTATGAGTCCAGTGCACGGCGTGATGGCGGGAAGGCGCGTGCTGGGCAGGGCGGAGGCGAGGATGGATAAAGGGCCAGGGCGGGGGCGGAGGTGGGGGTGGGGCACTGGCTCTGCCCGGGCAGGGTCCTGAGAGGCTGGCCCTGGCTCCCCATAAGAGGCGACCTGTGACACAGAGGCACGGGTGCGGTAGTGCCAATCCACACGGCTGGCTCTCACCCACCTTTGTCTGGCCGACACTCCTGGGACAACAGTCCAGCCGAAGCCCAGGGGGGATGGTGAGGTTGGGGTGGGCACTGTGTGTTGGACACTGGGGGAGCGAGCCGGGCACGCCCGGCTGGACCCCGGGGCGGGGGTGGGGGGTGGGGGGTGGGGTTGGCAGGTCTGTGGGGGAGGGGCAGGGAGCTCACAAGGAGACAGGACAAACCTGAGAGGGAGGGCCGAGGCAGCGTGGTGAAGCCCAGGAAAAGATGGCTAAGCCTTTGTTAAACCAATCACAGCGGTGGGTGGGAAGCATGAGTCTCCCCTCGGCAGTGGGGGAAAAGAGCGGAAGGCGGACGGGGCGGCCTGGCTCCAAGTCTAGCTCGGCCAGCTAACCCTCTGTGTCGCCTTGGGCAAATAGCCTTCTGGCCTCCGGTGCATTAGCTGTTGAATCAAAGCGGGTCAGGGCAGTTAGGCCAAAGATCCCTTCAGGCTGCAAGGGACACCCTACAAGGGGCCCGGGAGGGACGGAGGGGTTGGCTGCGGGGAGGGGAGGCCAAGTGTGTGCAGCGCAGGGTGGGCAGGGTCTGGGCATGGTGAGGGCAGCGAAGGGCAGCCCTCTGCAGGCTCAGAGGAACAGCCTGGAAGGTTCTGAGGGCACCAGGAAGGAGCTTCTAGGAGCGGCGTGCATCTATGTACGAGAGAGAGAGAGAGAGGCTGCAGCGGGCCCCTCCCTGGTTCTGGCTGGGAGCTGTCGCTGGCCGGGCCCTGCCTGTTCCTGCGCTGAGGGCAGCCGGGGCGGGTCACATACCGTGAAGATGTTGGAGCGCCGCTTGGACTGCTTGCGGATGGGTGTGGGGGTGGAGGAGGCGGCGATGGTCTCGATGCGCAGCTCCCGCTGGCTGATGCTGGGGGTGGAGGGGACTGAGGAGGAGTAGTCGCTGAAGGCGCTGCCGCCGCCATTCGAGGCCTACGGACAGAGAGGGCTGCTGAGGGGGGCTCTGGGGCGGGCGCCAGGAAGCCCTGCAGTAGCAGGGCACACGGGCTGCTAGCTCCTACAGAGAGGAATTTGGGGGGGTGGGCATCTGCCTGGCTAGGGAGGATACCCTCGTCCTGGGGCCTGGGCAGGGGAGCCCAGCCAGGAGCTCCATCAGAGGCACAGGTGACATCAGGGACAAGCGTGAGAGGAGACAAGACTGTGGGTGACGTCCTGGCTCATCAGGGGCCCGGAAGAAGGCTACTCAGAATGGACACCCCCCTCCTCCAAGTCCGGGACGCAAGGGTTGGTGGGGGGTGGGGGGAGGCTGAGGTTTGCTTGTAAGATGTGTGTGGCTGAGAAAGGATTCTCGCCCCGGCATGGGGCAGAGCGCAGCTGTGAGGCGGCCAGAGTACGCTGCAGAGACCAGAAGCGACCACAGGGTGAGGCTGCAGTGCACGGGAGCCCCTGCCTTGCCGACGGCCCTCCCTAGAGCACGTGGCCTGGCTTCACCTCTGTGGGGCCCTAACTTGTGCAAACATGGCCAGTGCCCGGACCCAGGCCCTCCCCTCTGCCTCCAGGGCAGGGCTGCTTCCTCCACGCCCACAGGGGCCAGGCGCTGGCCCAGGAAAGTGGGGGGACGGGGCCAGACCTGCAGAGCGCCCCCACCTGCCCCAGGGCCGGTGCCGAGCAGGCCTAAAGAACTTTCCTCTCTTCTCTGCACCCGCTGGGTCGGGTTTCCTTGGGAAGCAGTTTACAAGATGATTCTAATGGCGGTACCCAGAGCAAATGCTTGTGCTGTCTGAGCTGAAGTTAGGGGTGGGGATGAGAGACCGTAGAGAGCAGGGGCTGGGAAACCGAAGCAGGAAGATGCAGTCCCTGTAGGACACAGCCAAGGCCAAGGCCGAGCATGCAGGCTACGCGGAGTTCCAGCCACATGCAAGGTTGGGAGGCCACAGGGGAGGTGGGCAGGTGTGAGGAGGCGGTGGCAGAGGTGGCAGAACACAGAAAGACAGGAGGACTGGAAGCTGTGGGGGAGGGGAAGGAGTGGGGGCGCACCTGGTTGATGTGCACAGCTGGGATAGAGGCAGCAGACACGGCCGAGTGGCTGGGTGAGTTGGGCAAGGACTTGCAGGGCCCGATGGCCAGCTGCTGCTTCTTCCTCAAGGCCACCACCTTCTGGGCCACTGCAGGGGACAGCAGAGTCAATTACACCCGCTAGGGAGAAATGGAAAGCCCAGCTTAGCCCCTGCCCCACCCCCACCCCCCGCCCCTCCAGGGACTCAGGCTTGCTGGCCCAGGAGTTGCCTGCGCCCTGCTCTGGGGCCCGAGTTACCGTCCTGGAAGACGCGCTCCACGTTGAGCCCGTAGGTGGCGCACGTCTCGTAGTAGGTGCAGCGCTTCAGGTCTGTGGACAGCTTGCGGGCTCTGCTGTCGTCAATGACCCGGGGATTGGCGGCACTGATGGCGTCTGTTGGAGGTGGGGTGGGAGGGGGGGGGCTCACTCGGCTGGCTGAGAAGCCAGGGGAGAGGAAGGAGGGCCATGCGCTCCAAGGGCAAGTGGAACACACAGGGCTCTAAGAACTTGCTTCCACCTCCCTGAGTGGAAACGAGCCAACCACTTTATTCATCTCAAAAAAAGAAACCCGTGGACAGGAGTGTCACACCTACGGCAATAACAAGACTCAGCCGGGTAGGGGGAAGATCCGGGACGAGGGGTCCTGGGAGCGCTGGGCAGTAGGGGACCTGGGGGAGGGGGCGCTCTCGCATCTGTCCACCCAGGCTGCACCCAGCCCCAGGGCCTCCCCGCCTCACCCTGCGTGCCCACCAGCACCATGGGCACCTCGCTGGTGTTGCGGAAGCTGCAAAGCCGCAGGAAGTAGTTGTACACCGTCTGGAAGCTGATTTCATCTTCCAGGCTGAACACAAACACCACTGCATCCACCCAGGCCGCAAACTAGGGGAGACCGAGCAGAGTTAGCTCTCGTGGGGTCCCCGGGGGCAACTCCCTCGCTGGGTGGGCAGACCCAGGGGGGGCAGGCCCAGGCAGCACCCCCTCCCCAGACACGCAACCTCGCTCAGTCCCAAGTCTTAACCTCGAGAAAGGGGTGCCGAGCACAGGGGTGGCCCCAGGCCCTGGGGCAGGAGCATCACCTGGAGCTCGGGGGGGCCTCCTTCATCTCGGATCAGCAGCAGGTAGCTCTGGCCGTCCACCACAATCTCCTTCTTAAACCGACCCCCTAGGACAGAGTGCAGAGTCAGGGCCCACCGTGGGGCGCACCCCAGGAGGGCCGGGCAGTGCAAGATGAGAGAGGAGCGAGCAGAGCCAAAGACAGAGCCGGGGCGGGTGAGTGTGCCTCCGATCCCGGGCTGGCCCGTGACGCTCACCTTCGGGGGACTCCTCCTGGACGTAGGTCCCCGTCAGATAGCGGTGCACCAGGGCCGACTTGCCACTCGACAGGTTCCCTACTATGCCCTGCAGGGGAGGGGAGCGGCAGTCAGAGGGCACGGAGCGGGAGGAGGCAGGGCAGGGAAGACAAAGCAGTACAGGGAGGAGATGGGGGTGGCAGATGGGGTGGGAGAGGCCGAGCCAAGAGGCCAAGGGGGAGTGGGCGCTGGCAGAAGCAGCGCCGGGCCTCGCCCACCCAGTCCCAGGCTCGTGGGCACCTCTGGGCCTCACTCACCACTTTAAGCTCCGGCACAGAGCGGCTCAGGGTCCACTCCTGGCTGTTCACAAATGAATCTGCGAAGACAGAGCCGCTCGGTCAGGGCCAAGGTCAAAGACACGCCTGTCCTAAAGCCTGCTGCCAGGGTCTTCCCCTAGGCATTGGATGGGATCCTGGCCTGGACCCCTAGTCCCCCAGGGAGCAGCAGGAAGACCCTGAGGCTATGGACTCAGACTACACGTTGAACCTGCGACCTCTCCAGCAAGCGATTGATTCCCACCTCAAACCACACCTGGCTTCTCACCCAGGTCAGACCTCTAGTCCCCCACACAGACTGGGCACCCAGCTGAGGGTCCCCCTAGCCTCCTTCGAGTAGGAGCAGCTCACCCTTGGGAGGGTGGGGTCGCCCATCACATTCCCGAGCCAGAGGGCGGAGCCTCACCTGGCCCTGTTGGCTGAGAGGCAGGTGGAAATAGGTTCCTATCTCCTCCACACAGCCCTCCCCCTCAGACTCCTCCCTGGTGGGAAGCCCCACCTTCTAGACCGCTTGCCTTTTGGCCTACTCTCTGCACCACTGCTCTCCCCCTGACTCAGGAAAGCGAAGCCTCTGGCTAACTGGATTCCCCTCCCCCCCACAGCGAGCCCCATCTCTCTCCCCCAAGTTCCCACGGCACACAATCTAGCCCGGGACAGCCCAGCAGGCTGGGCGGTGCCGGCTTCCCAGCCCCTGCTCCTAGACACACTGTCCCCAGAAATGTTTTGAAGCTCTGGGGACCCGGTCTCCAAGTACTCAGCTTCCAGGGCTCAGGGCGGGCCTGGGGGCTAGGAGACGCGTCCAGTACAGCCTGCGACCTCCTGACTCTCATGCAGTTCCTTCGGATGCAAACTCTGGAGCTTTCTTCCCGTTCCAGGATGCCAGGGACAGAGCTATCGCCTGAACCTGCCAGCAGTCTCTCTCTGCCACTGCCCACGACCCCAGCCACTTGTGCCAGACCCAGCTAGCTCGCGGCCCCGCACGGCGCACCCACCTCCACCAGGTAGGTTCCCGACAGACTCTCACACAGCTCTCAGTTTCCTGCTAGACTCCACCCGGGGAGGCCACCCAGGCTCCGCGCGGCCATTCCCCTTACCGCTCGGCGCGCCCAGGAGCCCGGGGGCCGCGGCCGCCCGGCGGCTCCACAGCGGCGCGGGGGGCGCGGGCTCCCTCCGGCGGAAGCGGCTGGTGAGCAGCTTCCAGAGGCTGGCGGCGGTGCGGGGGCGGCCCGGCTCGGGCGCGGCGCGCGGGGCCTCGGCGCCTAACAGGTCGCGGCGGCTGGGGAAGGCGCCCAGGGAGCCGGTATCGCCGTCGCTGCGGGTGCGCGCGCGGGGTGGCCGGGCCAGCAGCCCGGACTCGGAGCGCCGGATCTCCTGGCCCCGGCGCAGGCGGAAACTGAAGCTCTTCCTGAGCGCAGACAGGCCGCGCCGGGGACCCTCGGCGCCGCGCCCACCGCCGCCACGGAACACCTGCCAGCGCTGGCTGCTCCACAACGACGCGCCGCGGAGGAAGCCCGCGCTGCCCGCGCGGCCCAGCCCTGAGCCCGGCGTCTCGGCCGCCGCCGCCGCCGCCAGCTCCAGACGGTTCACCTCCAGGAACGTCATGCTCGTGGGCCGCGGCCGCGGCGCCGACTCCCCCGAGGTGCGGCCGCGCCGAGCCGGCGCGGGGCTGGGCGCCGGTGAGTCGGGCCGTTCCGACGGCGCGGGGCCACGGCGGCCAAGGCGCGGGCGCAGGAGGCCGAGCAGCAGGCCGCGGGCGCTGGCGGGCGCCGGCCCCGGGCCGCCCGAGCACACGCTCCGCGGCCGAACCGGCTGCTCGCGCGCGGCACACAGGGCGGCCTGCAGGGCGGCGGCGCGGCCGGCCGGGGCGCCGTGCAGGTCCAACGAGTCGCTGACGCTGAGGGCGCGGCGGCAGGCGGCGGGCCGCTCCCCGCTGCAGCTGTCCACCGGCGGCCAGCCCCGCTCCATACTCAGGGCCCGGGGACGAGGGCCAGGCCCATGGCGAGGGGCGCAGGGCTGGGCCCGGGCCGGGGCCGCGGCCTGGGCGCACGGACCTCAGGCCTCTGGGCACCTGGTGTCGGCCCGAGCGACTGCCTCAACTCCTCCACCTCCGAGCCGGCAAGCCCAGACCTGGAGAGGCCGGGAGCCAGCCCAGCCAGGAGAGGCAGCAAGTCTGGCCTGGAACGCCGGGAACGGCGGCGGCGGCGCGGCGCAGGGGAGCCGGCCTGCTCGGGCAGCCCCCGGGAGCCCTCAGAAAACAGGAAATTCCAGCCCAGGGCTCCTCCTAGGACTGGGCAGGTAGGTGAGGAGCTGTCATTAAGGACAGGCCAAATAAATAGCAGTCCTCCAGCACAACGAGCACACACACAGGCTGAGAAAAGTGGGCCGTATTCTCATTCTCAAGAGAAGGGCCAGGGGCACGGGGCCGGAATTATTAAAAGCCCAAAGGAGGGGCCAGCGCTGAGGCGAAGCGGGTTAACGCCCTGGCCTGAAGCGCTGGCATCCCATATGGGCACCGGTTCTAGTCCCAGCTGCTCCACTTCCGACCCAGCTCTCAGCTGTGGCCTGGGAAAGCAGTGGAGGATGGCCCTAGGGCTTGGGCCCCTGCACCAGCGTGGGACACCTGGAAGAAGCTCCTGGCTTCGGATCAGAGCAGCTTGGGCCCTTTCGGTCATCGGGAGTGAACCAGCGGATGGAAGACCTCTCTCTCTGTCTCTACCTCTCTCTGGCTCTTTCAAATAAATAAAAATAAATTGGCCGGCGCCGCGGCTCACTAGGCTAATCCTCCGCCTAGCGGCGCCGGCACACCGGGTTCTAGTCCCGGTCGGGGCGCCGGATTCTGTCCCGGTTGCCCCTCTTCCAGGCCAGCCCTCTGCTGTGGCCAGGGAGTGCAGTGGAGGATGGCCCAGGTGCTTGGCCCTGCACCCCATGGGAGACCAGGAAAAGCACCTGGCTCCTGGCTCCTGCCATCGGATCAGCGCGGTGCGCCGGCCGCAGCGCGCCAGCCGCGGCGGCCATTGGAGGGTTAACCAACGGCAAAGGAAGACCTTTCTCTCTGTCTCTCTCTCTCACTGTCCACTCTGCCTGTCAAAAAAAAATAAAAATAAAAATAAAAAAAAAATAAATAAATCTTGGGGAAAAAAAAAAAGGCCAAGGGAGGAGTCCAGGAGGCGAGTCTCTTGTCGGCAACCCCGAGTCTTTGGCTCAGACATCTGGAGGTCCGGAGTGGCTGCGCTACAGTTGGCTGTGGCTGTCTTTTCCTCCGGAGATTACAGAATCCAGAAGATTCGTATCTGTCTGGACTGCATGTTAGGTGTTGACCTGCCTACGGCAGTGGAAAAGCCAAAGGGTAATTTCTGGGCCTTGACCCTGCTCCCCGGTGACTCACTTCTTAGGCCCTGAAGTCACTGGGCCTCACCTCCCGCCTGAGCTGGGGCCGGCTGGGACCTCACAGTCTACGTGAAAACACCCTCAGCGAGCGCCGGACACCCAGTGAAGCCAGGCCTCACCCCAGCACTGGGGCAGTGGGGCGTGGGGTCCCTGGAGTGTGACTGACCACAGCCCATAAAGCAGAAATCAATGGTCACAGCATGCAGATCTGCAGGGAGGAGCGAGGCGTGAGGGGCTTGTGTCTCCTTTACAGAGAGTGTTCCCCGGCCCGCCTAATCCAGCTCCTGCCCCATCCCTTTCAGGGACCAGGGTCTCAGAGGAGGAGGAGATAACAGTGGCGCATTCCTGAGGGGGCTGGGGCTGGGGGAATGCCTAAGGCAGGCAGGGCCTCTCCATCCCAGGTGCGCCCCACAGACTGGAGGGCCGGAAACTCCCAAGTCCTGGGCTGGATCTCCCGGGCCTGGGGGTGGGGGTGATTCCCTGTGTCCGTGGGACCAGTTATTAGCTGTGCAGAGGGCAGCTTCCTCCTCTCCGGGAGGCTTGTTCCCCCCTAATGGACGGCTCTCCAGGACAGCCTGTCCCTGGATCCTCACTGCGGCCGGTATTTGACCCCCGTTTCCAAGTTGAAGTCCGTACCCTTACGGGGCCACAGACCAAAAGAAAATGCTTTCTGCCTTCCTTCCCTGTCTGCAAAGCTGTCCTTATTCCCTCTCTTTCTCTCACTGAAAATTACCCTTCCTCAAAATAAGCCTTCCTAGCAAGCCAACGCAAATGCAGGCACAGGACAGTGTGGACGGGAGGTGGTCTGTGGAGACAGAGTGGGGAGAGCCCACAAAGTGCCCAGAGAACACCTGAGGTCACACCTGCTCCCAGTTCCAGGGCACCTGCAGAAAAGCTCATTGTGGGTCAGCCTGTGAAGCGGGAGAAGCCTCCCTTCCTCACCTGGTGCCCCCCCCCCCCCCCGGAGCTTTTCCTGACCCACAGAAGTTAGGCAGGTAAAGGCACCCTCTCCCTCCCAACATCGAGTCAGTGAAAGACCCCACCCCACCCCCCCCACACCACAAAACCTCTTCCTCCTTTGGGTCCGCCCCAGGTCAGGGACAAGGTCTCCCTGTCCCAGCTGACAAAATTCTCCCAAGACAAGCGGGAAATGCAGACTGACTCCCCGCACCATGAGCTGCTGGGCCCAGGGGGGACAGGGCAGCGCTGACCAGCTCCAGGCTGGAACAGTACAAAACCAGGAACAGTACAAAAACGCCATAAAAGTGCCCCTGGTGCAGGCTCTCTGCTGGGCTTCCTCATAGGGCCGGGAGGAGAGATTAAGATGAACTCTCCCACGGATGCCTGCAGCGCAGATTCTGGGTCAGGGTGAATGCAATCTTCCTCCCCCGGGGTGGGGGCAAAGAATGCACAAGGCAGCCCCTCCCCGCCACGAGTGCCTGGAAGTCAGAGAAAGAGCGGACTCCAGATATGCCCCACAGCTGCCCACACACGCATTTGAGTGTCTGGGGCCCGGAAGGGTCCTTACAGGAGAAAGACCACTGGACAGGAGTGGGATGTCCACAATGACCCACAAAGAGGAAGTGGCCCCAAGCTGTGCCCCAGGAAGCCCACAGACGGGCACCTGGTCTCCACCCAAATGTGTGTTAGCTGA